GCATGAAATTTTTATTTTCTCACTGCATAATTATCCGTTACAATCATCATCACATAAAATTAGTTACATTTTTTTCCGACAGGGGGTGTTGGGTGGGTGGGGGGCAGTTACCCCTGCTGCTCTCCCGCTGTGTATTTCTATCCGTGTATTATATTTGATATTTTGTTCAAAGGCAAAATTTGTAGCAGTTGGACTTCAATGTTGTTTCTTGCACTTCACTTGGTGGAATTAATATTAGAATGTTAGGGTTTGTAATCCAAGTGAGTATATATACATTTTGAGACCTGACCAGGAACGACTGCGAAAAATGCAGCACAAGGTCCTCTGGTAGGAATTGAACCTACGGCCCTGCGATTCCGGAAAATTTGTAGTACTAATGATGGGAATTCTATCCTTTATATTTGATATTTTGTTAAAACATTAAACACGTTATTGAAATCACAATCTTTCATGCATGAAATATTGAAATAAATAATATAGAAATGGTTGAATGCATGGTTTTTGGCACGCGCGCTAAAAATAGCCGATGCATCACATGCACTCAGGCTAGACTTGCTCGCCGCGAGACGCACCGCAAAAAAAAAACTGGAAAGGACTTTGGGAAAGTCTAAGTGCACTGCATGTAATAAAAACATTTAATACATACAGAGCCGGATTGCAAAAACTTGCAAATAAGGTCTTCTTTCATAGTCTTAGAGAAGAATAACAGAATTACAGAATATTCAGCCCAAATGAAATCGAAATCGGGCTTTGCATCAGAATTTGATCCGCAACTCATTTAGAAATCGAGTAAGTAAAATTGTGATGTCATAGTCTTAGAGAAGAATAACAGAATTACAGAATCCAAATCAAATCGAAATCGGGCAAAAGTTCCGTGTACGTACACTTGACCGCAAAAGTGCGCGAGGTACGTATAGTAGACCACAATACGGTCTTTGTTTTATAAGTGTAGCTATACACTTGTACACGACGGCATGTGCGTACATCAGCATTTGAACTACACTTGTACACGACACCATGTGCGCACATCAGCATTTGTGCTACACTTGTACACGACATCATGTGCGCATATCAGCATTTGAGCTACACTTGTACACGACATCATGTGCGCATATCAGCATTTGAGCTACACTTGTACACGACATCATGTGCGCATATCAGCATTTGAGCTACACTTGTACACGACAGCATGTGCGCACATCAGCATTTGTGTTACACTTGTACACGACATCATGTGCGCACATCAGCATATGCGCACGTCAGCATTTGCGCTACACTTGTATACGTCATCATGTGCGCACATCATCATGAATGTTAATTAACTCACTCAACTGAATATTTAATTACCTCACTCTGTCCCTCACCCTTGAAAACATGCCCGAACGGTACCAATATTACTATTTTTACAACATTGAACTGGGGGAGGGGGAGACAATGTTTGTTTTGTCAATGTTTAAACTTTGTAATATTGGAATGGTCTCAAGGGCCACGATTGTAGCCTTCTGTCCACACTTAATAAGAAATTCGACATTTTACGACATATTTTTTAAACTCATTTCAAGTACTTAATGACCGTTATACAAACTCAGCACGCAAACTTTATTTCGACTCTGATGTGTTTGTCATATTCGTCGTTCTTAAGGCACGTCCAGTGGTATATTTAAAACTTTAAACTGACATTCTTGTCTTTATAATCCTTAAAAATACAACCATGGCAAACAACTCAACGCATTTTCCCACAGTACCTAGCGAGATTCTTCTTCTATCCATCGTATTTAAAATCATCGCAATGAATATTGGAGTTTTGGGAAATATCACAGTTATAATTTATACAATTTTCTTGAGCAAAGAAAAGACAGCGACATCTTACTTGGTAGGAAACTTGGCACTGGCAGATCTTCTCGTGTGTTTAACATTTTATCCAACATGGATCATTGAGTTTATACTGACTATATTAAGCATTCATAGTGAATGGGATCTGTTTTGTAAATTAGGTCGTTCTACCATCTGGTCATTGCTGTTTGCTTCAGTAGCTACACTTCTCGCAATTACTGTTGATCGTTATTTCTATATTGTAAAACCTCTGAAGTATCCGCTGCTTGTGACCAAACGACGAGTTTTTCTAGTTATTTCAGGAATTTGGCTGACTGCGTGCTGTCTTTGCGTCGTTTTTCTAATTTGTTTTAGATATCACTTAGGATTAAGAAACGTTTGCGAGATTCAGTTTGATATACATCATCATGTTGTTTATAATTTTGTTACCTACTTACCACTTACTTCAATACTAATTCTTAATATCCGTATTTTAATTGTTGCGGAGAAACAGCGAAAGCGTATCTTGGCTGAAACAGCTGTACCCGTTACAACTTCCAACGGACAACCTGCAAACAGAATGTCTGCTATACATGGATTTTTTCGCGCTCATAAAGCAGTTAAGTCATTTTCTATTGTTGTGGCAGTGTTGGTTTTCTGTGTCCTCACTCCAAATATGCTTGGTCCGGTCCTATACTACTACTGTAGCGACTCATGCAAACAGATTTGGTACGTAGTTTTTAACTATGAATTTTATGGAATAAATTCGATCGTGAATGCTTTCATCTATGGAATGAGACATATCAAATATAGAAAAGGTTATCGACATATTCTTTTTAAAATACTTCGCTGCAAGAAACTCTGAAACAGTCGTATGAACTTTATGTTACTGCACGAACTGCAGCCACCAACCGCACGAAACGTAAGGCTAAACAATGTGTTCAGTTACATTGGGGGGGCATTGACGAGGAAAAAAAAATTCGGAACGTATTATAATTTATTACAAGTTTTATATATTTCCCTCCATTTTCGACTATTATATAGCATATTTCCTCTAATAATGAGAGAATTTCTGCCACTTTAATATTTTTACAATGAGCGAATATTGCGCGACTGCGAAGTGAATATTGCCCGACTGGCCTAGTCTGCTTCGTGAGCTTTTTTCATTTTACATTTACGTCATACCAATACCATTTGGTCAGCGACGTCATTTAATTAAAATTTTACTCCGAAAAATCCGGACTTGTATTGAGCGTGTATTCAAACTATTGTCAAGTAACTGTATGTTGAGCATCCTTCGGCTAAAAAACTGAGTTTCTTTAAACAATATCGTGCAGCGGATGGCGGTCAACCTGTAGTTATGATATCTCCAATTTATGGAGATATCATACGCATTTGGTGGGAAATAAATAAAGAGATATATTCAGTTGACCTTTAATATAGTTTAATTTATTTTCTCCTATTTTTCTCCCATGGTAAACTAAGTGTGAACATTTCTGATGTTGACCGTCATCTCCTCCTTGTAAGGTTTACTAAAACCAAACAAAATAATTCTATACCAATGTTTATTCATTATTGCTTCACTCAAGTAAGAAATCTAGAAACAAAGGCCGCTGAGATATCTAAAAGTGAGTGGACACAATCAAAGCCGGCCCTTGTCATTGGCACACCCAGCATTTTTGAAGTAGCTACTGCATCGTTAGATGCTTTTTGTTTTACTAAAATATAGAGTAAAGAAAACGAGGTTTTTTAGTTTGATTGCGTATGAACAATGCTTAACTTATTTAACAAACCTATACCTAAATACAAATATATACCCCAGTACACAGTTTCTCAAGATATGATGGTCTAGAAACGCGACAAACTTCAAAGCTACAAAATAGAAGGCCTTTGTTTGATGTTGAACTATACCTCACCGTGCACAAATCCTTTGTCTTAACTTCATTAAATATCATTCATCGTGGTTGCTCATTTCATCTCAGCTATCCCTATTGGGCGATTACTTCATTTACGAAAATAAAATGAGATCAATCACCGTGACCGTGCACAAATTGACATAAACTGAGACAAAACATAATACAAATGACATCTGTTTAGTTTCCAGACCTTCATGTCTTGATAAACTATACCCAATATATATAGATAAACATCGTCAGTTTCATAAACATAAACATTAAGGGGCTGATTACATGGAGAGTTTTCAGCCAGGGCTGAGTTTCAGCCCGGTTAAACGAGCTGAAATTGCATCACGATTACATGAGCAGTTTGAGCCCGCGGACTGAGTTTAGTCAGAGCCAGGGCTCGAATTTTATCGCGGCAATTGCCGTAGAGGGAGAACAAAATGCTGTGGATCATTGCGGCAACGACCGCAATTTTTTGCCGTATAGTGCAATTTTTATACTATTCAGATGTTGATCAAATCGTGCGTAAATCACTATTTTAGTCTCAGTTTTCTTCGAAAAAAACCCACTAAAGAAATACGTAGACATGTTTCTAGCTTGTCAAAAATCCAAAGTAACAATAAAATTAAAGTTTTATTACAGTAATTTGAAAAATGCCGTGGAAACTGTCAAAATTTCCGTAGACAGCTGTTACGTTCAACGGCAATTTTTAACGTCATTGCCGTAGATTGATTTCAGGGAAATTCGAGGCCTGGTCAGAGCTATATTTATAGTCAACCCGGGCTGAAATGTCAACCCGGGCTGAAATAATCTGAGTGTCACAAAATAGGACAATAAGCCTGTTACGCTTCTTTGATGCAATCAGACGCTGATTAGTCGACTATTTGACTTGTGTGAGACTGTGGTTATATGTAAAGTATTTAAAGATGAAACAAACACGCAAAATAAAGCCATTTAAAAGGTTGTTTTTAGCCCGTGCTGAAATTATTTGCGATTACATGCTGCCGGGCTGAGTTTCAGCTGGAATTTTGGTCATGTAATCGCTTGCGGTGTTTTAATAGGATTTTATCCTCAGGCCGGGCTGAAATTTCAAACCGGGATGAAACTCAGCCCGGGCTAAAAACTCCCCATGTAATCAGCCCCTAAAGTCTACAAAATGTCTGGTTTGATCCTTTGAATTTTAAACTTTCTTCCTTAACTTATTTGACAAACCTGTATCTCAATCTGTACGCATACCAATATATATCCCAGCATAGATAAACATCAGTTTCATAAACATTATAAAGTCTAGGAGGTTTTGAAGTGAGGAAACCTCCTGTGAACTCCTTTGATCCTTTCCTCTTTCTCGCCACGACAAAGTGCGCATTTGTACTTGGATTTCGACTTAGACAATTCCTTGTACGTTTTCTCATCAATGCCTTCACAATGAGTGTGTGTCCATCTATCACACATATCACAACATACCATGGGGAGATCTGTTTCATCATTACGGTACACTTTGAGACAGATTGGACAGAAATTCCCATTTCTAAACAACCTCGAACACGAGATACACAAGGTTTGCAAGAACTGCGGGTCTCCACCATCAGCTGGGATTGTGAACTCGTGTTTCCACTTTGCGGCACTACCTTCAGGACCTGGAACTCTCTTCAAACATGAAGCGCACATTCCACATTTATCACAGATCCATCTGCCAATTGGGATCTGGGTTAAACCAACACAGAAACTATGGTAGCCTCGATCACATTCGTCACAGAACAGCATTTTATCCTCATCATGTGGGTCGTTACACAAGGTACATCTCTTACATTCCATACATTGCCAGGAATATGTCTTGATTATTCGCACTAACTGAGGACTCATATCAAGACATGTCGGATGACCACTGTTTTCACATTCTGAACAATGGATTAGATGCTCTGGCATACCTACACCAAAATAAAAATAAGAATTTGATTTTTAGTAGAGGGCCAGTGGTTAGAGGGCCACTGATACAGAATAAAGACACACAGAAGGTGGACTCAGCCAAAAAAGCGTAACCGCTGCTACGCCGTGATTCGTCACGAAAATGCTGACGCCATGGTCCTAGCCAGTGCGCTTATGAGAGGCATTCACCCCCTGGACGTCCGCCGTTTTGAATATTATCAGGGGGGGAATGCCTCTCATAAGCGCACTGGCTAGGACCATGGCGTCAGCATTTTCATAGACTTGCTCCAAGTCTCTCTTTCATTGTCATATCGAGCCACTATAGTGTGCATTACATGACGTAGCACGGAGAGGCGGAGCGAGAAAGAGAGACTTGTCAACTTCGGAAAATCTCGGTTCAAAACTCAACCGAAAATGCAAGAATTGCTTTAATTGTTTTCCTTCAATTTCTTTCTGTATTATTTACTATAATGGGACTCATGTTATTTACACTGTGCTAGATCAATACATATAAACATTGACAGAAAACAATTAAAGCAAGTCTTGCATTTTCGGTTCAGTTTTGAACCGAGATTTTCCGAAGTTGACAAGTCTCTCTTTCTCGCTCCGCCTCTTCGTGCTACGTCATGTAATGCACACTATAGTGGCCCGATATGACAATGAAAGAGAGACTTGGAGCAAGTCTAGCATTTTCATGACGAATTACGGTTACGCCAAAATCATAGGAAAAACCAAGACGTCGGGCTTCTGTATAGTCTCTATTCTGTGCCACTGATTTGTTAGTTGCTGTAACTATTTATGCATAACATTAAATTGTGGCCAGAAGTCGACACTTGACAGATGTTTGGCTGAAAAACGTTTGCCGACAGATCATTATTCGGCCGGATGTTGATTAGACATTTCACCGACAAGCCATTTGGCGAACAGGACAATCTTGTATGACTCAAACAAGACCACCTGTCGGATGATGCAATGTTTGACATGACATCTCATGCTTCAAAATCTCTAATGAGTTATCGATCCAGTATATTTTTATATCCTCCGTTATTCAACTTTTATAACAAATATTTACTCTGCTATATTATACATGTATACTTGCTCTCTGGCTTAGCGTCTCCTAATCTAATGTCTCGTGACCTAATCTGATATGTCAATCACTTCAGCTGACCAATCAGCATTTGGATACAACATCCCTTCCTTAATTATAGTTATGAAAATATCAACCTTTGAAGTTTCTAAAGTCTCTAATTCTATGTAGTTCTTTACTTTGTAGTTCCGTTCTAAGACTTAGTGTCTTGGAATTACTATTACGGGGTTTCATTACCGTGTTCTTTAAAACTAAATAAATGTCAACAGTCTGCATTTTAAACTTGACTAACTTAACCTACTTTTAGATAGTCTGGTTGTTTTCTATTTCTCGTTGATCTACGTAGAACAATTTCCGTTCCTGTAGTATTCTGGTTGGTTTCTGTTTGAGTTGCTTCGGTGTTTTCTTCGCGACTTTCCGTTTGTCTATCATGCTTGCGATCACTCTGGATTTCTTCTTCAGGATCAGGAATTTCCTGGTATAACTTGACATGCGATGAGTTTCTGCGATGTTGTGTGCCATTCTTGTCTTTTAACACTATCTGCGTGCCGTTTATTTTGGTGATTACCATTGGATCAGGATGAAACTTTGTCGTAAATTTGTTTCGATGTTTTTGAGTAACTAGTACTTTATTTCCGACTTCAAGATTTCTTGGACTTGCTTTTCGCCTCTTGTCGGTATATTTCTCTTTCTCCTCTTCATCTTTCTTGCGAGTTTCAGTTTCATCGTTTGTCTGTTGTTCAAAACTAGGAAGTTTCGTCTTGACTTCTCGGTTCATTAGCAATGATGAAGGTGTTCTTCCGGTCATTCTATGAGGAGTATTGCGGTAGTGGAGTAGCATGATTGGAATGGTGGGTTTCCATGCTTTTCCTTCCGCCTGTGCGGTTAGGAT